TCTGCGACGGAGCACGCTCTCCTCTGACCGCGTAATAATTTCCCGGAGTGCGATTCCTCTACAGGGCCCACGCTCCGTGGTTCAATTAAGACCCGTAGAGCCGTCACTTCCCCATCGCGCTTGTCGAGAGCCCGAGAGGTCTCGCCGTCTCACTGCTGTGCATATTCATATTTCAAGGAAATGGGTGGCACGGGATCAGCGTCTTCTGACGTCGCCTGTCCGCGAGGAACGATGATCGATGACGCCGGATATTGACCGAGCCCAGTGTCCAATTAGGGATGAGCGCTTTTATTATGATCGAAACTCCGAGGAAAAAGATTCTCTGCGGGACTCACTGAAAGGATGAATGACCGGAGCGACAGGCTCACCATTGATACCTTCTACTACTTCGTCGTCGCGAGACCTCCCTCGTCGTAAATGATGTACAAGAATATCGGGATTATGCTTGTGTATTTTTCCTTGAAACTCCCGATTCTCTGATCCGTCGGCCTCCGACGCGGCTCAGTTCCGAGCAAGGTGAAAGTTGGGGAGCTCAGAGGGCTCCAGTCTCTATAGACCGATTCGGAGAGTCATTAGCGAGCTATCTTGTTCGAGAGGAGCTCGAAGTAGTTTCACGATGATCAGCTGTGCTAGATCAAAAGTCGGGTGAATCGATCGACTCTTTCCGATCTCAGAGAGTCTCGGAAATGAGCGTCGAGACAGCCGAATGATTAGCGCTGGTGGCACTCACTACGCGGACCGTCAATATACCTCCGAGGAGAAATTATTCCTCTCCATGAGCTGACGTCTGGGGGAACGACGCTCGAGCCCTATTTTGCCGTCTCACTGCTCGATTTCCAACGGGAAACTTCCGCGGAGGGCGCTCGATTCGATCCAGAAATTTTTACCATGAGTAGCGGTGAGGGAAGAATCGTTCATGCTGCGCTCCTGCATTTCTGAATCCAGAGAATTCCTTCCCGTGCGTAAACGGCTCTCTATCCGACTGAGCGCGATGCTCGGAGCCTTGCGGGGAGCTCCGCCCTTGCGGCAGGAGAATGGAAAGAGGAGGCTCGGATTGCGATAATTTTCCAACAGAATTTTTTGTATACATCTCTGTATCCGGCGTTTGCTCAATTAGAAGCCGGCAGAGACAATTAGGCCGTTCTCGCATTGTGTATCAAATGATCTCCTGTCGTTCTGACGGCGTCCGAGTCTTGGAACTCTTCCAGATGAGGAAGGGATAGTTTTCCCTTCTGCAGAATACTCTTCACTTCCGAATCGATACTTGAGTTCTCACGGCGACGCGTGAATTTTGCGTACTGAATAGCGGTCACGATTGGCGGTCACGAAGTGTCGCCCACTCTTTTCAGCAATGCTATTTTCGCTCGTCTCTATTCTCAATTCATTGATTCTTGAGAAAATGACTTTCGTGGTCTAGAGAACATGATCGGAAGAGGAGATACGACGATACAATGAAAATTCCGTTTTCTGAGCTCGCCAACTCCAGCTGACAACCGGCCCGACAGAGGTAGCTCATTATCGTGTTTTCCCATCGTGGACAGACGTCGAATCAGAGACTCAGGCGTATCCATATCGGGAATTACTCGTCGTCCATCCGGGATTATACGTAGCGACGCAGCAGCTGCTGTCGAACGATGCCGATAAAGAAAAAACTCTTCGATAGTTATCCTCTTCCCTCGCGGGAGACAGATTTTTTCCCACCTTCCCCTGAGCCTGTATGCTTCCACAATGCCGAGAGATCCTTCTTTACTCTTGACATCAGAAATCTGCGACGCATAGCCGGAGCGGCAGAGCTTCGTTGATATGTTCTCAAATGCGAGCGTCTCGCCGAGCAGCTTCTCCGCGTTCGGGACCTTGTCGTCAACGGTTTGGTATGCCGCCAAATACATAATTCAGTGCTCGAATTTGTCGTATCCCGAATGTTTTCGTCGTTATACGGGATGCACACGCATATAAGGCGTGCCGTGTGGCTTGAGGAGCGGTGCGCGGATTCTTTACGTCTCGAAACTCTTCGGAATAATAAACTCTGGAGTATAGACGCGAGAAACCAGAAAAATTGAAAAGCAAAGACCGGAATGAAGGGAGAATATCAACGAACACTGTGAAGAATCGATCGTTGGACCGGCTCGAACCGCCGAAAATCACGGTCGGTGACAGAAGCGTGTGGGCGTCCGAATCTCAGCGCGCTTCGCAAAGAGACGCCCAAGGTTCCGAAAGTACGTCCGTTGTCCCGTGTGCGTACTGGCGCTGCCGCTCCGTAAGTGGCGCGGCAGCAACCGCGGCAGTGACCGCGGATCCTTCCATCTCTGCTTTGTTGGCCGATTGGTTGCTGGGATGCTTGTTGTGAGCCGGGAGAGCAACTAAGAAGGGTTGTAAATTGTCAATGACAGCCAAATGTCCGCTTTTCATCGAGCCTTGGAGGCCCGTGATCATACCGCCGTTACCGCCGCGCAGCTACCGTTGTCCTAATTTGATTCGGATTCCGATCCCGATTCTTCAAGAATCGAACAACACCGAGCGCTCGTATCTGAGGAAGCCAAGGCGGGATTCGACTAGTCGAAAATAAATCACTCCAGCCGTGATGCGTGTTGATCACTCTATGGAAGCCGCTCCAAACTATCATATTTTTCTGTGGAAGATCCGACGGATGTCGACAAGAATAGCAGAAACAAAGACCGACCGAGTGAATCCAGAAGAGCAGAGAGTTTGAGACGGTCGGATAACCGACGCCGTAACATTGTGGGGGCCGATTTTAGCAAAAAAGGAGCGAGTTCTACTTGGGTCGAGGTCTCGCATCTGCAAGAGACATCGGCTGCGTCAGAAGCCTACGCAAGGGACTGGAAACCACTAATGTGCACGACCCTCCGGTCCGGTCTCTGCTCTGGAAAAAAGGTGCGGAGTGATGAGCTCCCGAAACTTTGTTCGCCAGACCGCTTCACCGCACCTGCTGGCTCGGTTCGGTGGCTCTACAAAGAATGAAGCAAAGGGATCTTCATTAGGGACCTTTGGAGCCACGCCCGATGCAAGTCTGAAGGGTCGACGCTTATCCTGACTGCGAGATTGCTCGTGGGGTAGGCTTGGGAACGCGTATGAATAATTCGGAGTGTCGGTTGCGAACGAAACTTCCGGCGAGTGATTTTCTCGGGGTAGGTCCTAAGGCCCTCCGCTACAACTTGGAGCGTTTACGAGGGAGCGAGTATTTTTTCGAAACCGTGAAGCTCGTCTTACGTGATTCGCGTCTAAGGGAAGCTTTTTCCATGAGGCTCTCGGTGGTCTCAGAAAAGTTTTAACTCCCCGTGAGCTCGTTCCCCCTTTCTCGATGATATTCCGGAGAGGGGCTCATCATTGAGTAGAGTAGCAGGAGCTGGCATCGACGTATCCATCGTTTCCTCCGTCAACGGAGTGGTCATCAGCATGGTAGGCGGGCCAATTGTTCGAAATTTGCACGGTCCGCTGAACAAGCACAAAGAAAAATTCCTCCGATCATTGCGGGAATTTATGCTCCCGCAATCGCTACTGAGGTCTCCGACCCCATAGCTCGCTATGCATCCATCCAAGGTTGGTTCCGCTTTCACTCGAATTTTTTGATCGGGACCCGTGATCGACACGGCGCGGGCGGGACAGACGTTTCATTTTCGATTTCGTCGCAAAATGCATATGTCGACCCTATCCAGTGGCGTACGCAGGATTCTTCTTGAGGGGGGCTAGATCGGGTCTCCGCATGGGGCTGAAATCCAATCAGGCGATTCGCTCCTATACTACAGCATTACGAAGAAACCATCTGGGAGGGGGCTATAGCCCCCTTAGCCCCCCCCCCTCGCCGTACGCCCCTGACCCTATCTCTCCCTGAGCAGTATCCCAAACCAGGTCCGATCTAATCATTTGGCTTCTTTTCGCGATCCGTGGCCCATTTCATGGGAGTGTCATCGAGACCTCCTTCGGAGCGAAGACCGAGCTGCTGAGGCCAGGAGCACTTGGCATTTACGCCCATGCATCTGCATATTCACGCACATCAACTCGAATATACAATGATCGCCGTCGAAATGACATTCGCCACTCCATTAGCCTGCGGAATTGATCGAATAATCCGTTTCGTCTCGAAGGATCCGGAACGAGGGCAGGCGAGATCATGAGAATGCCGAGCTCTTCCATTGGAAATGGCTCCCGCCCCCACTGTCGTGACTTGCAACGGGAGAGCTATTCATGTAGTATCTTGACGCGGATTAGAAAGAGGGGAGAGACTTGTCGATGCGGCCGTCACATGGAGCGATCAGGCTGATTCCGGGCCCCTGAGGTCCATGGGGAGAATCTAGAGATCCTGAAGGAGTATTTAAAAGGTCATACACCTTTCTTCTTGAGAGTTTCTTCTTTTTTCTCACGCCAACGCGACGACAGGGAAGCGTAGTCAAGTTTGCCCTTCAGAGGCTGTTCCTAAGTGAGCGGCTGACAGTTCTTACCGAGGTAGCTATTTATAGACCTGGATTCAAAGCAGACTGAGGTCACAATGATATCATGCGGACGTTGGAGTCTTGTCAGCGCTCACAGACTAATCCCACGAATCCGCCAGAGGCCATATCCGAACCTCGATCTGACGACTCGGCTTCGGGAATGAAATTTAGGAGCTCGGAGGGTCACCTCGTTAGTGGCGCGTATGAGCCGGACTACAGCTGTGACGGATTGCAACGCTTGCGCGAGGAATCCTCCCCGTATTTCGGGTTGCCCCCCTTCACTGAAACCCATCGCGCTCATTCCCTGGGGCTTTTGAGAAACTCGAAATTATCTGGACTTATTAGCTCGCAGGAAGAAGGGGATCCGGATGACCATTCGCTGATAACCAATCCCCTCAAGGTTGCGCTCGCAATTAGGTGTTCGAAAGCGAGAATCGAAGGAAGCGGAGCGGAAAAAATCCTCGACGTCTTTTATGACCCCACAGTAAAGAGAGAGTTACGGTAGAAAGACGTGCGGGATTGGATCGATCCTTCGTTCGCTCGCTCGATCACACCGACCGTACGGCTGGAGGCAGCGGACCGGTTGAAAGATCGACTTCCCCACTCTGCTTGTGCCGAAGACATCAGGTAGCATGGGTGTCGAATGACAATTTCGGAGAAGATCTAGGATCCTTCATTTCCAATTAGCGCACGAGTTCCGACGACAGGCCCAGAGCCGGACCGACTCGTGGCTCTATGCGACGAGGTGTCAGCTCGTTTGAGGAGCTCCGTCGGGCTGCTTGACAGTCGGAACGGCATGTCAGTTGGCCGACTGCGCTCCGCGAAAGCGAGCTGCCGGCTGCCTGAGGCAGGCGACTGAACTTGCACCGTGGATCAGTGGATAGTTCTGATGGATCTCTGCTGGTGCTGATGGTTGTGGTGTTCGTGGTGGATCTGTGTCCGGCGTGATGTCTCCTCTCTCTTCCTGTGGCCCACCTAAAAGCGGCCTCCGCTGCCAGTGATTCGTATTGGTGCGGAGGGACAGTCTCCGGGTTGTCGGCGTGTCGGCCATAATCCTCTTAGCAGTTCACGCCCGTTGGCTGGTGGAGTTGTCCATGTTACGAAAATGTGAATCTCGGCCTTTGAATGTACGTCTAATACGTCTTCTATGGCGCTCTCGTTGCGCTCGGCTCACGCTCGCCTGTCTGCCCACCCGCCTGCCTGCTCGCTAGCTTGCTCTGCCCGTGATGGATAAGCCTGTTCGTCTGGATTCGGAGGCGAATTTTTACAAAAGTGTGAACCGTGTAGAAAACTTCAACTGGTCGTGGTACTTGCTCGCGAACTCCACTCGGAAACCACGCATCCCAGACTTGAGTCACGATCCACGGGTCGTACGGACGATCTAACGATCGAAAGAACGAATGCACGAGGATTTTTGTTCTGATGGAACCTACGAAAGAGAAGAGGTTCACCTGATGATGGAATAGTCGAGGACAGTCCCAGTGGCTTCACGAGGGATTTCCTCTTGGCGCCTGAAATGAAAAGGCTCCTCAGGTTTCTCACGTCCATGTCGATCTCCCATAGACAATTCTCTAAGCGACGCCACTAGAGTGTTCCTCCCGCCCGCAATCTGAGAGTTCCTCGCTCAAAAAAGAAGGAGAATCTCATTACATGTTGTCGTTTCCTTTCCTTACAGTTAGGCGAGCTCTAGTGGAGATTACGCGCAGTACTCACAGGTGCTGGCGATGTCGAGCTCACAGGTTGGCAAGGGCGAAGACGCCTCGACGCCCATGCTTTCCGGTGGGGCGGGCCAAGCACACGTCATCCGCATGGATCCGAACACCAACAACTTCCAATCCTCGGTGAGTACCGTTCGATACGCACTTGATACACCCCGAAAACGCTGTGTCATATTTTTTTCGTGCTCTCGTCATCTACCGCGAGTCTCTCTCGTGAGAGACAAATTCGACTGTGTGGAGCCGGAGGATCTCGATTATTATCGATGAGCCGCGATGGGAGAGCCTCGTTGGTCAGCGGAATTGGATGCCTTGGATCGAAAGAATTCTCGCCTCGACCATCCGAATCGGAAGTTTCGGATTGTGACGGCGCCGGCTGCTTGAGAGGAGCGCTCCCTGATATTGACCGGGAGGAGTTCCGTTTCTTGGAAAGCCTTCGTATCGGTCGCCTCCCATCGGACTTCATAATGGACGTGACAGGGTAGAGAGGAACACTTTCATCGAGATCAATGCCGAAGGTGACGGTCGATTAGAAATCCGCCATCGGAAGATTTCCCTCATGTATCGAAGGGAATGCGAACTCAGTCAGTTTCCCCTCGGTCAGAGAGAGGACCTTTTTCTTTTTTTAAATGAGCCTCGAGGCATAGATGCGATGAAGATGTTTCGGGCGGATATCCGCGCGAAATCATCATCGTGAAGGACGGTGGGGACAGCCGGGAAGGGGGACCGATTCGGAGTCCAACCAGTCAACCGGCGGGTTTCAGAGCCGCACGGCAGGCCACTCAACGTCGTTCGATGACCTTCAGTGCCTTCGGGCGATTCCCCTTATTCTCTCCCACTATAGTCGACAAGGAAGTCGACGACGTCCTTTTTTCGGGGCCGTCGGAGTCTGGAACCTCTCCTCTGAAGCCTAGCTGTCCGACCGCTCTTGTCGATGCTCGCCGGACGAGCTTCGCTGCGGCGCTACTCGCCGTACACCCGGGAGAGAATTCCCTGTCCTCGACATCAACAACAGTTGTTGCTATAACGCGCGGATAGGCTCTGCGTACATCAGGACGACGATGTGAGCGGGGACGAGGATTGCAGCGACTGGGACGCAAACACCTATTTAAACTTCCGAACCCGTCGCAGCTGAGTGTTGGGGAGCAGTCCGACACAGCTCTCCAAAACAGCGATAAGAACTTTGTGATACGAAAGTAGTGAGCGGAATGCCCGCCCGATCTTCCAATGAGAGCCAATTGAGGCGTCTGCGAGCCAAGACACGTAGGCTCGCCGGTTTGGCTGACTCGACGGTCGCACTCGGATCGAATGTAACCGTCTCCCTGATCGTCATCGGTCTGTCCGCTCGTCTGCGGTCGATGTGTATTTCTGGATGTCGATGACGACCGCAAGTACCACCGCGACGTCGACCGGATCGAGGATGTACTTTGCTCCCTGAGCGTATAGCGCGCGGGCGGGCAGGGAGTCAGTCAGTAAGTCAGTAATTCCGCGAGGAAGCTGCAGCCATCAAGCCAAAGACCCGGCAGTCTTGCTGCTGCTCGTCGCGAGTGAGCGAACGACGACGCTCATTGTCTCCCGCACGATGACAAAGCGGCTCTCTTTATCGTGAGAAACGGCCTCGCATTCGCTGGTCCTCGCCGAGATCGTCTCAATAAGGATGAGGAATCGAGCGCGAAAAACGCTTCAATCGTCGAACTCGTCCGCGCACACAGAACGATCGAAAATCAGATCAGGACCACCTCATCCTGTCTGTCTCGGTCAGATAGGTCTGATCGGTATTGACATCATCTTAGCCGGAAATCCATAGGCGAGCGTTCGCGCAAACTGAAAATACGTCCTCTCGGTTCGCCAAGGTCAACATACGGCACCCCCGGACACGTACTAAGACTCGGATTCTGATAGATCAACGTTCAGCTTCACCGAGTCGCTCCCGGAGGGGAAAACGGTGGAATACGGCCGTCGCTTGACGCGAATCTTTCCAACTTCGTTTCAAGTCGCGAGTATTCGCGTAAGAGCGTTTGCATCGGATTCAATGAGAAGGATCTCGGGGAAAAATTCACGAGTTTGCTCGACTTCAATAAAATCACTCAATTGTTGCCACTTAACGCCAGACAGGAGAATAATTCGGTTTAATTGTGCGGCAGGATCGCTCGTGCAGTCCGACGCTTCAGGGAGAACAATTGACTCTCTTTCGTTTTCATTAATATCAGATGCGCCTTTCTGGCCGCGCTATTCTCCCGCTCTCCACGCAGCGAGCGAAACATATTGCCATTTGACTTCCTGGATGGCGACTCGAGGAGTGTAAAGTTAAGTGAGAGAAACGAGCATTGTACGCAGTACATTACTCGAGAGGGGTACTGATGCTGATTTATTGTCCTCCGTGTCGTTTGGTCTGTCATTCGGCTTTTTCCTTTCTCGTTGGGTGTGTCTGACTATGAGTCCTTGACGCTTTTCTGTCTGCCTGAATGCGCGTCCTCTTCGTCGTTGATGAGTCTGCTGCTCCCTCGTTGAACAAGTCCTCCATTGAGTGCCCTTTGGTCACTGTAGCTGGCTTTCACGTCGAGGTGAACATCACCTCGAGCCTAGCTCAGAAACGGCACCCTCTCGATTGTAGCGGATTTCGCCCATTTCAGATAAATGAATTTCTGTATCAGCGAAGGTCTCGCGACTCATCGGCGAGAGCAGGGAGCACAAAGGACTGGTCTGGCCGAGCTCCGCGCACCTGTTCCCCGTCAGGATCCGAGCGGGTTTTTTGCGTGGCTCCGATTCGTTCACACGGACGTCCCGTCCCGGAGGTTTCTCAGCTCGAGACGATTCTCAATCAGCCGCGATCGGTATTAGTTTTCCGGACGATCCATCTCCTCCGAGGGCGATCGAGCGAGTCTATTTGTTTTCTCCAATCGAATTTCCTCCGATTCGAAGCTCGGCTTACGGCAATTCGATTAGACCGTGCCGTGCGGTCTGAGACTCGAAGATGTTCAGGGCGAGCCGCGAGCTGAAAAATACTGTTTAGCGAAGTCCGCTGTGATCGGCTTTCGGATGAATGAATAGCTCTACAGAGTCCCATGGTCCGCGGGGCCGACGAACTGTCTGTGTGTCCGACTGACTGACTGTGAGTCCTTCCGGAAAGCTTGGATGCCAATTGAGACTCAAGGCTGGAGGCGACGTTCCGTGGCGGGCAGGAAATTGTATTAAAAACTCGATCCACTCTAGCTCGGCAGCTCCGCGGAGCCGATTGCTCTAAAATCGACGCTGATGGCTCGCAGTCGGGCTCATACAGACTAATACTCATTGGCTCGCTCGCGCTCACGTAGACCTGGACTCTCCCGCCCTCTCCGCCTGCCTCGCGCGTTCTCTCCCTCTCACTCGCGTATCGCTCAACGACGAACTATACGTGAATGGATTCACTATGATGCAACGGATCGGCAGCACCACGAGGAAAACGTGCAGGATCGGAAAATGCACGCTCCCGAGGATCGAAGGGAAGAGTGTCGAGTAACACGAGTTCCCACTTCAAGCTCAAGATTAAAACCGCGAGAGTTCTAAATACGAAAGACACACACCAAGTTTGAATGTCGCCACGGTGAATAATTTACCCCGGGCTACGCCAACTTCAGTCACGTATTTCGCATTGGCAACCGAGAGGCGGTCAGAGCTCTCGTCAGCTCTCTGTGTCGCTGCTCCACTTCGAAAGCCACGAGCGCCGTACTAATATGCATGGCATGGGCATTCCATCGTTACGTGCGATATCGAGCTGTAGGTGGTGTCGATTCCCCTCTAGCTCACCGAGATCATGAAAATTTCGCACTCTGCTCCTGGCGGGGAATCCTTCCTCGAGATGAGGAATCATCGATACTGTCTAGACTCGAATCTGAGCGGGAGACAGATTTTTCTGGCAGGACCATTCATACAATCGTCGATTTATCAGTCGGAGAGCCACTCGAATGCTGACATGATTTGTGGAACTTTCCGCAGGGGTACGAACACGAATGATTTCCCCGCAAAAAAAGATCAGCGCCTGAGCTCGTCGCCACATATGAAGTCTCCCATTAGGCGGCCAAAGAGATTCGTCAAAATTCTCGCAGCGAGTAGGACATTCGCTTCGCAATGACTCGTGGAGCCCCGAGTTTGCCTCGTAGGCTTCCCTTTCGATTCCGCAGGCACGCGAGTTTGCATGTCTGGTGGCCTAACCATCCACCCAAATGCTCCAGGAGAGTAAAAGTCATAATTTGGCGTCGTGTTTTCAATACTGAGGATGAGCAATCTGTCTCGAGCAATTTGTCTCCCATTCAGACATTGAATCGGATCAGAAACCTTCCATGGGACGATCCTGAGGCTTCAGTCCAAGTGATAATCGCATGAGAAAGGACTCAAACGATCCCGGTCTACGACAGACTGAGCAGAATCAACACTCGGAGCAGCGGCGTCAGGCGATTCGGCGATGAAGCCAAAGGAAATCGTCCAAGACAGATAGTCGGGCTAGAGCATCTCCCGGCACTGATCTCTCTCAATCAGTCAGTACGATGCACGTAGGTATGCCGCAGCAGAAGATATCAATAACTGGACAAATCTGACTAAAAATTGTTGATCGGTCTGTACGCGCAGCTCGTGATTCCATGGAGTTCTGATCGATTTCCCGTCGGCTTCGTGCTTCGTCCTGCTCGCGAGGAGCTCACTTCGGCTTCACAGAGCATAGTCGCACGCGATAAAATGATGAGGCTACCGAGCCTCGTAGGCAGGTTGAGCTCATCTCCTCGGTCGTTCCCCGCGGGAGGGAGAAGCCGTCACTCGCAGAGAGTAGCCGCAGCGACTGAGCTTGTATCGAAAATCTCCAGGCGATTGAGATCAATTTGAAAAATTGTCGCTAGGACTCGTGCGCCGGGTCGGTGTTTCGAAACTCGTAGAGTTCTCGGTTCATGTCGACGAGGCTTACAGTGGGTCAACAGACGACCCCGAGACTCGATACTCGTCTATCTACGAAGATCGTTATTCCCGGCGGAGGTAGTCTGTATGCCGAAGCAAGCGTTGGGGATCCCTGTTCCCACTCTTCTCCCCTCAACCCTCGCCTGAACCAATCTTCTGCTCTCATGTTCTTGGAAACGTTGCCGACATCTCGCGACTCGGGC